AAGCAAAGTACCAATCGCCTCCCAACCTGGTCATACAATCTTGTACCCACTCTTGACTTTGGTAAAAACACCATTATAACAGCGCAGTAGAGAGGACCTTTCTGGCAAAGGCAAATGTCTATTGAGGAGCCCTGTCGAGGAGTTGGTATACCAAGCCAATTTACCGATGACCTTCGCAATTCTGAGATATGCGTAGATTGTTTTAAAGTTAGACAAGCAAATGTGAACAGAGTAACTTGTCAAAAGTGTGTTGTTTCTGAACGTCGTTTAAATTTCATCTCGTCTAAGCACCAATTTACGACGACCTAGGCAAAAATGTCCTCACAGCAACAGACCTTGCAAACCAATACGGCGGGCGATTTTTTCATAATATATTTAGTGTCATCATGACCGAGTTTCAGCAATTAAAGCTAGCAGTTACATACTACAATCTCCACTTCTGTCGCAGACTCCCCAAAAGAACTGGACGCGGGTGCCCAAGAACAGAGGAACACCACACAATTTGCACCACACTTTAGAGCCAAAATTTGCATTTAAGGAGAACATAAGGGGTAAGATTAAGTGAGTTTAATTATCTCATTCTCTCTTCGCGTAGAAACACGGTCCTTGAGAAAATAGATGGGCATGCAAGTCTTCGCCCAACGGCCTTTCCATGAAAGTGCATTAGGTTTTGATTCCGTAAATTTTCCACCTTTATGAAGAACGCAATTCGAAAGCGTGCAAAAAACCTATTTACTTTGTTGCGTTGTCCAGTCTGAGTTTCGGACCAACATGGATCTAAGTAGGGCAAAACGGACGTAAAAGTGTTATTCCTTTTCAGCATAAGGCTGGACACCTATTGTGGCTGTACCTAAATCCACTAAATAAAAACAGCTTTAGGCATGTCAAGAGGTAAACACAACTTACTAAGACATCCTGTTTTTCCTTGAACTCAAAGGCGCTTAGGAATGGCGAAGTCTTCTAGCGTGTGCACTTGCACCCGGACTTTCGTCCGCTACATACCCACCACAGCTCTGGATATCGGCCCCTAAGGGCAATTTACACCATCCCCTTAAGTGTGACTTCAATTTCGCAAACGGCCAATCGACTGTTTTGTCCTCTTTCAATCTAATAGCTAATCCTTGCTACTCATTTCATCCAGTTCATCAAATATGTACTGACCTAACAACGAGATCCCACAAAGCACTAAGTTTCCCCGACCTGTGTCATTGTTGAACGAACATGAATACCTATCGGCAAAGTCACTTCAGCAGTTTTCATCGACGTTAAACACGATGGTGATGACTTTATAAATTGTCCCCTATTTTAATAACATTTAACTTGGGCGATGGTCACAGAGTCTGAAACAGGATTAGATCTCTTTCACACAATACATGGAGTGGTTTGATTCAGTCTTCAAAGAAAACTTGAAGAATGGCTTGATAATCTTAATCTTACGATCACCCACATAGGGCTAAGTACATCTCATAAGGTTTGAAATATAAACCTTTCGAATCTCCTCTGGTCACCTAAACTAGTCTCCACGATTATAGCTACCATGATCGTCTGTAGTGTGAAGTTCTCATCCTTACAGTTTGACTTCGTTCAAATGGACCTTTGTGTCTGCATGAAAGTGGATGGTTGGCGTCCAGCAGTGGCATTGGAATGTGCAATAAAATAATAGTAATAGTACAGTGCCGCGTAGTATGCTGTTAGAAAATCAAAACAACCGGTCGTTTAGATGGTAACAGAAGTCATTTTGCGTCGATAAACACCACAAAACAGGACAAGGTTTGTGATAGTAGATTTTATAGTCCGCGCCAGTTCAGCCAAGACTGACGCAGGTTCGAATTGAGTGAACTGGAGAGGTATAACCCGCAAAAAGAATTCGATATCGAGGTTTTACTATGCTGAATCAGCACAGCTTTTGAAGAAGAATTAGACAACTCATATCAAGTGTCTCTCTTCTATACACTTGATGGTGACTATCAAACGAAACTGCCGACGCGTTTCACCAGTTATAAACACACCATATTTTTTTCATGTGAAATCCGAAACGCAGCTGGTATCAATTCTTTGGTGAAAGTGACACGCTAGCGTCAACCAGTCTATCAGTTCTTCCGCAATGGACTGTGAGGCTTCCAAGAATGACGGGTGGGAAGTGCGGGGGTGTGAAAAAACCGACAGCTGATCGCGCCAACACATTTGGCACATGGCACGAAGAAGCTCAATTCACTTCGGGATCTCATAACGTACGCGGGTTTCTCACTCGAACAGAACAATGGGGCCCGTTAAAAATTAGCGGGCTGCTTGCACCTGGACGTCAGTGTCGCATTTGTCTGATGGCCTATCAAGTTGGAGACGTTGTGCGAAGACTCAGTCCAGGATGTCAGCACATCTTTCATGCTGCTTGTATTGATCCGTGGTTGCTGCACCGGTAAGTGTGCTTTCAGCACCTTGGAACGTCCAAACAGCGTTCATGAACGTGTTGTCCAGAAAACGTTTTAAGCAAATACGTGTAACTACCTAGCTACTCCGGAAAAATACCATACCGGAAAATCGAAAACAGCCAACCAATACCTTCCTAGTTCTATGAGGACGGTCTCTTAAGACAGAGTGGTCAGAATTCATGAAGTAATGAGGAGTTGGCGAACTAACCAGAAGAGATGAAACGAAGTTAGCACCTGAAATTTATTTTTTTCCGTTCGAATTACACAGAGGAAATACATGTAATGCTAGGCGGAGTTTTCCCATTGGTAGGAACAAATGCAAGCGAACATGCCGTATGCATTGTGTCTTAAAATAACGAGAAAGTGTGTTCTAGGATGTGGAATCTTCAGCTAATAAATAACCGAAAGAGTATGTGATAATCGGTCCACATGAAACCAGGAGTTCTTTTGTGGATCAGATACCGTAATGAACCTTCTGAGTCAAGGAACTCTGAAAAGGTGGCATTTGTGAATCCCATTCATGAAGTAGGTGAATACGGCTCTGCTAGAGAATGAAGATACAATGAAATTTCTGCCGGGTGGTCCATGTGGATCGTATTCAGGATGAAAAATTGTCCCGAGCAAATAAGTTGTCATTTAGGAGTAAAACCGTACTACTGCTAGTCAGATTATTCAGGTTTTTTTATTCATCACCAATCACCTTATATGTGCATGATATATCGATTTATTTTCATCAGATCAGCGTCATGCCCACTAGACGGGACCCCTGTCACACCAATACCATTGACTAGCAAGCAAAACACACGTCAGACCGGTCCAATTCCGAACAGTCGAAGCTCGAGCCTGGCCGGTTTCGGCGATATTAGCATATACGCAAGTGCTTGTGCAATACAATCGATGAAGCCCTCAAACAAGGCACAGCTTACCGCCCCCGCGCAAAATGGTGTCTCCCAGCAAATGGTAAGTGACTTCAAAGATTCACTCTTAGAAGTGTACATGTGCAATTTTCCTATTGGAAATACTGTTAACTGGTGTGTATTAAACACAAAGGATGACTAGTGTACATGTTAGTGACCTAGCTTAAAAGTATTTGTCCATGAGCCATTGAGGTTTGCTTCCAAGATGTAGCTGATGTATGACCATAACGGAGCGATCGTTGGGATGCACTGCGTAATGTAACTTACTTTATTGTGATGCTTTCACAATAAAGCTTGCTCTTGCTGTGCTCAGGCTTTTGCTAATCCTATCTGCTATGAGAGTAAGTAAACTTGACCACCTCGTAGCGGACGGTAAACTAAGCTCCTCGGCAACTCCACAAGTTGAGGTGTGATTGACCATGGGTGTGTCCAAATATAGGCAAAAACACACTAGCTTGCAAATTGGTAAGGATAATGAAGTTGAGAGGAATATACCGACGATTACGTTGAGCATTATGCGTTTCCACAGTTTTACATACTACTTAGATAGTGAGATAAACTATAGTATACTAGCTATACTACGCTATACTACTTACTAGGTACACCAGACATCGTCCATCACGCGGTTTTGAAATGTAACAGGATTGAGAATCTACCGCTTTTCTACCAATTCACGTTCTAAGTGTCGACCGATAAGTAAAAACAGGAGAACATAAACCCGTTTTGCAAAAACAAGCGATATTTGCAAGGACCTACCAAGACAGCTGTGGATTGGTCAGATGTGTTTGATTGTGACAGGTTTCTCCAATTCGAGGAATCACTTGCACCGAGGTTCATCCATACAAATCAGAACTAAGGCTATCCACTAAGGTGAATCAAAGTTGTGCATCTGTTTCCAACACTAACGAGGCTGTTCTCCAACTAAGTAAATACCCCCGGATACTGGCCAACCTCCTACGAAGGAATCAGGATTTGGAGGCCTTTAGGATGCATGGTCTGTATTTTGTGATAAATCCGAAAAGGGATAAAGTAATCAATTGGAAAATGCTTGGGACCGACTGGGAAGTCATCGTTTCAGAGGGGTTTGGTAAATCCTCTGATCGGTTACCAAAGGGATGAAGTAACCGTACAATGGACCTCGGATTAAAAGCAAAAGATGGTGTTGCGTTTAACGACGAGATAAGCACTGGACATCTACCAAAACCACCGCTCATAACAAGATAGAGCTATGCTGATTGCACGAAGGAAACTTACATAAGATATTTAACAATTTTGCTAAAGTCTTTCAATTCCTCGTGTCGGGACCACAATGAAGGCTGCGATAACTAATAGATCATATAATTCTCTTTTTGCAGTTTCCCAATGATCAAACGATCCCATACCATACGGTAATCCTGAGAGCACTAAATGGGTTACATTCCAACTATTGTATGCATGAAATTGGTGTACCGAATACCACCACGTCGCTGGCGGTAGGGTCCAGGTAGCGTGAATGGAAGTCGGGATAACGGAACTAAAGTGCACGACAAACAGGCTTTGGTTTTGGACAAAATCTTGTTAACAGACACACGATAGGCAATAATGAGGCGCCGGAGATTCATCGGGCAATGGTGGACGGTTGTGGGTAGTTACATGATATAAACATAAGGGAACGTGGGGTCGCTGAACAAGTTAGGCATGACGGGGCGATACGGTCGCCGAAGACTGCATGAGTGTGAATGCCTAATGAATAACACGAATATACAAGCAGATCAAATCATCATTTTCATTAGTTATGAGAACCGCGTACTTGTTGTACAGTGGTTATGACTGCCAAAGTTTCGTTTACAGATAATTTGTGGAAATGATAGGTAACCGCTCATCGGAGGTGGTAGATGACGTAATTAATGCCTAAATACATGGTCAACAGTGGACTTTTAAATTGAGAGATTGGGAAGGGGCTATGCGTTGAAGGCAATAGCTTGGACGCGCGAGTGCCAGTAAGGGCGTGTCTGACAATATTTCTAACTGCTGGTGTGTCCCGTCTCGGAGTCCCCATCCAGGGAGACGGCAATGACCAGCACAGCTGAGTTTGCTGGTAATGGATTTCATACTTCGCCGCCAAGTAATTTATTGTTTGACCTCCCCTGGCTCGTTTCCACCTTTTGCGTGTTTGTGTGAAAAGAACCCTTCGAGGATGTCGGTAGACTGGCATACGGAGCATGTGGCGAAACACGCGCAACCTGTAGAGTGTGAGTAGTTCATCTATCGTAGGTAAGTTACTTCTTCCGAAAACTATTCGACGTATTTCAGCATTGCTGACCTGGTGTTCTCAGCAGACTTGAGTAATGCTCCGAATACATAAATGGTTGAGCACTGAAGGTCTTTTGACGTCCTCAGGCGAGGACTGCGGTCACAGAGACTGATAAGCGAGGCGGTAGAAATCATCAAGCATACCAGCATCAACGGAATAGAGGGTATGAAGCTGGCAAGCGAGTGGAAAACGGTTTCGGATCAGTCGAGCTAACACGTGTTGGTGTGCGGTTATCAGAAAGAGGAGTAGTCATCAGCTGAATCGTAATTAACCCCAAACACCTCCCCCCTAACTAAAGTGTCATGACACTTACAAGCCCACGAAGACCAACGAAATCTACCAGTGGCACCCGCGGTGAATCACCAATTGAAGCATCTTGAAGTGAAGAATTAAGCAACAAACCCGATCGGAGCTAAGTTGAAACTCCCACAATCCATCAACGCAAGATTTTGGCAACTATGCTAACCGACAAGAGCCGTCAATTGACAATCAGCACTGATCTCGTGCGCTAAAATGAAGACCTCGTACTGATTGGTTTGCCGTCTGCCTTAAAAACTGACCAACCTGATGACCCGCTCACTTGGTCTGATGAAGCTTTTGTATCAAAAGCGAAGCGTTACCCAATTAAAAACTACTAACTGTTTATCAAGTCATTCTTAAACAGCAGCTCTAGGTTTCTAAAAAAACAAAGGTTGTACCGAGAACATTCCTCACGAAAATTCCTTCCCAAAGCCTAAGCCATAAATTTTCGTCCTATGTTGTTGAACTAAACACATAAAAAGGACAGCTGAATACATGTAGTGCAGTTCTGTCGCAATAGAATTCGTAAATGAACATATCTAGCCATATGCAATGTAATATGCATTCAGATCAGTACTGATCAATGAGGACATGGACAGGACAGTGAATCGTCTGGGCACTACTGTAGGAACAATAAGAATGCGAGAATGTTTATTTGTACGGTCTGGTATGCAGGAGCTGCGTTTCTTCTCACTAGAACGTAGTCTTCTTTGTAGATCGTAAAACGCCGTAATGGGAACTTGCTAGCGTATTTCTCATTGTGATCAGAAGTTTATATGTTTGCACTGTGACGTCAGTTGCGATGGCAAGTAGTACCGTTTGTACCTACGAGTACTGTATAATTTTATAGCTAACCTTAAATTTTATTGCACTGTTACTCGTTTTACTTTGCTCGATTTTAATAAAGCCCTGTTTTCCAGTTAACAGTATATCCTCCTAAAAATAAATTAACCGGGTTCAAGATGGAGATCCCAAAGACCAGTCACAGTAGAGGCAAGGATACAACTTTAATTAGTAATGACGCCGGATCATCGAAAATGTCGAAAAAATCTTTCGTGTTTCTCTACATTGAGGCCGCCTAACCGACCGAGGGATTTGGTTAGCTAGCGTCACAGGCAGAACAATTTATCGCTCAGTGTCTTAGATGCGGTTTTCGTATCATCACTTGTGTGGCCTGAAGACCACTGTCGGGGCTATCAAGCGAGCACAATGCTTTCGAAAACAGACCAGTATCATTTGTGCAGTACTATAAGTGGTCTGGAAGAATTTTGTGCACTTCAGTTCTAGGGGAATGTTAACCCTCGTTTTCTATCTCCCTTAACAGAACAACGAACTACAAGTCCAACAGGGAGAAGGACTGAGTATCGTCGGTCATACAGTGACCAGCGGCTCACTGGAATCGAAATGGCGCTCACACAAAGCTATACCGGAGGCTATGGGTGAACTGCCAAGACGCTTGCTTTCCTCCTTTGATCGCGGGACATATAAATCAGACAGAAAATACAATTTATAGGATGATTCGAGGAGCCCTACTATCCGGTTGATTTTTACAGGGACCAACTGTGTTATCACTGTAGCAGGCGAGCCTGTGAGCGGGAGTTCCCCTGAATGAAGTTGACTTAGCAACAACCTTTTTTCTCTGACTTATGTTAAACAACTATGCCACTGTCCACTGCAAGATGAAAAGGCACCCTCGATCAAGAACGAACTGTTAATAGTTCAGGTTGCAGAGGCTTCATCAGCAATCAAGAGGACATCGGCGGTGAGCGCACTGGATATTTGGTTGCAATTGTATGTATGAGTTTGATCACCACAGACTTTCGAATATGAACGGTTACTTGGATGAGCAATTCAACCGCTCAAATCGTAAGTAAGCTCACGTTTATCGCCATTCCTATATGACCAACGACCTATCGCATATAGTTCCCATATACATGTTCCCTACTTACAAAGATCAAGATGGTTTTCAATCTAAAAAACGTACAAATTCTGAACGTCGGGTTGCACACCCCTCACGGGAATTTCCAGAAGACATGTTATCTGTCAACTGACTTGCTGAACTGATCCAATCTAGGAGTGAAGAATCACCCACTGTATCGGATATCTCAAACGTGACCGATCGTCAAACAATTAGATTGGGCAACATAATCAACCGCAGGAAAAAGCGTGCTAAGGTCACTAACCAGAGACCAGGCTCATAGGTTAACAGTGCTTGACAGTCAGAAAACCAGCTACCGATTCGACCAGTAGAAATGACTGCCAACTCCAACATAACTTCATTCGACAGACCCCGTTCAGCTTCAAGCAAAAGGAATCAATGGCAGCAAAATCTCTGTGTCGTTATGGCTACACTGTTGATTTTGTGTGTAGCGGGAAGGAAACAAGGGTTTAGCAGCAGATGCACGTTTTAAACCTACGAACACTGCTGTACAACATACTTCAAGTTGGGTTTTCTGCACAAAAAGCTGTCAACAGACAAGCACCATCACATATGGAGAGATAGGATTACGAGCAGGCTAGAGAACCACAAATAAATGTTATTAAATTTATCATCATATGAGGGTATGTGGAAAGATCAGTGCTGCTGATCCCAGAATTCCTAACAGGTACCAATCCCGATCGGTTACCTAGCTTCAATTGGTTTCCAGAGGTCGGCTATCCTGAACCATCATTACTGAGTTCTGTATCCGGTCAGTACCCGTTTGATATGCCCCTATTTAGTCCCGGCATTTTGCTTGATTACACATAATCGATTCCAAACTAGATTTGTACTCATTAGCCAAACGAATGTGGATAATTCTGGTGCACAACCAACGCAACATGTTGGGGGGAAATGCAGAAGTAGACACAGGTCTCTCACTCTGAGTTGCTACGTTGATATGTTAAGCATCTTGAAAGAACACATTGCATTAATTGCGTTTAAAATTAACCAACAGCATTTTGCCCGTTCTTTATTTTTCCTGAATGCATTGTTATCACAAGGCGTCCAAGTCGCCCTTTGGTTACACAGCACGAGTGGCTTCAAATTTGCTTTTTAAATCGGCTTGTGGCTTTACAGCTGTCATAACAATTTGACGTAATCCTAATGAATTCAAGCGACTCCTTCAAAACTATGATCCTACCTTTAAAGTTACCAATGCTGTAAGAACTTATTCATTCATCCACCAGTCAATATTCTAGAAATCGAAATTACGTGCTACCCTTCATGATTGATCTCAAGAATTAATCGACAACCGCTTCGCCGGGGTGCGCATGTGAAATGAGCGATGTCAACAATCCGTGAAAAATTCGACCACCACTGGACGTTCAAATATACACAAAAAACTAGAACGTAGACGTCTATTGCAGTTCTGACTTGGGAGTGGTACAGTGCTGCACTGTATTGAAAACGATTTTTACCGTTGCAGACCGTAAATCTTTAGAAAGACTACGGACAAAAAACATGGGAAAACACGCCGAATATGAACAAAGTCTCTGAATTTCTTTTCGGTTTCCAAGGAGTAAATAGAACAGAAAAATGAGAGCTGTCTAAACATGAGAGGACTAAAACGCTCCCGTCCTGCAGTTCAGGAAGAGACGTTCCCTTACATGAACCAGTTTCATCTTGGTGCATGAGTCCTCACTCTGTGGTTCCTTAATACTTGCTTGTTTTAAGCTGTTTTATCTGACAATGGCCAACAAGTATGCATAAGCCGTTTTCCGATAGCCAAATCGCACAACTTTGGTCTTTCCGGCAAAAGAACAAGTTCGATAAATCAATAAATCTACCCTACTGTGATTTCGCAGACTGAATAAAGATTACAGGGCACTCAACCACCAAATTACTACCAGCCGTCATGCCTTAACTTGCTTCAGATGGCAGAGTTCGGTCCATTTCGCTTCACACGGTAAGTGAAAAAAGTTAAATTCACAAAGAAAACAACCAATCACTCGCACGGTTGTTGTTTTGTTCATGCTCAAATGTTATGCTGCAATGAGGCGTTGGAGCCTCATTGGAGCCCAGCTCGTGAAGGAAGAAAGACGTGGATCGCGGAACTATTTCCCTCGCGGTATTTCTTAGTTTTGTTTCTCATAAGCAGGGGACCGTGTTTGTACAATGTAAATATTTGGAGATTTTCAAAATTTATTGTTATGATACGATGAAAATACCGTGCCACATCATGAAGAGTACTAGGCAGGCACACGTACTAGTGTTTCGTTGTAAAAAGATCCCACATTACACCACCCTGAGTTCCATGGCCGGTGCAAAACCCAAACAAGTTTTCCGTGTTGCTATTCACTGCGGTAGTATGGACGACTCTTGTCTTTTTTCAGCTGTTGGTTTAGGTGTCTGTCTGCAGCATGCTTTCTACACCATGATTGCCATAGACATGCTTTTATAACCATAATTTTCGTTTTTTTGGGGACAATTACAGTAAAAAAGCACAGAAAAATTTGCAAAACATTTCCAAAAGTGATGAGATTGTAGTTCATTAATAAGCGAGACACGATAGATGTGCACCAATTTGACGAGTGACTTTTTTGGTACACATTCTGATGCGCGCGCAGAGCACACTGCTACAAACATGAGAGATCCAGGTGGCTAACTAAAAATACAATAAGCCGTTTACAGTGCATTGGATGGGAGACTTGTGGAGCATCGGTCCCCTACACTAATTTTGCCACTTAGACAGGAGCTGCTGACGGACCCTCTGGGTATACGTTCAACATTAAAAAAAAACTCTCCAACAGCGCATGAAGTGAGGTCCCCAGCGTCATGAAGAAACCTTACGGACCACAAGACCTGGGCTACAAACGTTGTCGGGGCGAAAAAAACGTACGCAGCTGAACCGGAGAACACAATAACGCGATAACGGATAAAAAGCCCAGAAATTTATCATGATATTTTTCCCTGGGGCGGTGGTAACTCCCAAGAAATCGGGACCGCTACCCACATACGACGGTTTTTCAAGTTCTCATTACGTAGACTCAATTGTTCAGTGTTTAATAATAGCGTCTCTCTCAAAGATGACCACAGGTGGAAAGAATTCCATGCATATTTTAGCGAAACACCTAAAAACGTTAGACATAGAGGATGAGTATGATAGTATGACTTATCACAGATATCGCCGCGTTTTCAAGTATTCCCACGAAGAATGTGGAAAGAGCCCTTTTATAGCAGGAGAGTAGAAAAACGCCATTATAACTGATGCTTCATTACGTCAGTTAGTCACAGTAACTACGTTCCACAAATTACAGCGGACAAAATAACGGGCATCCGAAGAATACATCTTTTCGTAGCAATACTTTTTTTCCAATAGTTAATTAAGCCCACTCAGAAAGTTGCCAGAGACCAGTCGAGTTCAGCATGAGTCGAAACAAACGAGCAGGAGCCGAGACACGGATGTAGCTAACATCATCGTAAGAATTGAATTTTGGATGAAACGGAATAGCTTTGAAACTCCTGATAAGAGACAATGCTGTTCCTCGGGTACAGTGTCCAGAGGCTGGGTAAATATATGCCGAAACGTCCAAGAGAAACCAATTCAGGTATCCCAACCCCAACTATCACGGTAAGTCACCAAGATATATGGAGCGAGGTTACTGACCCTTCCAGGAATCACGCAGAAATTTTATCCTTAAAACTTTTATGGTTGCCACCTAAAGTGTTCACTGGTAAGCACACGCCATACAGCCATATTCACTTCAATAAGTGCTAAAAAAAGGACTGGCTGCACTGGCGCCCTTTCAAGAACTGGCCCAGCTCTTCAATCAAAACTCGTGTATGACATCGTTGAAGTTATAAAAGGCTTTACATGGCCTATGGATGATACGAAAGTTTCTAACGTAGAACAGTCAGACGTTCATCCAAGTAAGCCAGCAAGCGTTCTGGATGACCGCGATGAAATCCGACGAATCCGGCTTGTTCTGGAGGAACAGATGGTCCAAGGAACTGCTTGACATCAGGGGAGAACTAAGCAGAGAGACAGTAAACAAAAATCAGTAAGCTAAATGGGACGCGAGGGTGATAGTCAACATCGAACCATTCTAACAGTGAATAAACTGATCACTAAAATGACTTTCGAAAGTCAATGCGATGCCTGACAGATATGAAGAACTTATTGAGTAGTTTGCGATATTAGCAGTCCCATGACCAAAGCCTTCTCAGATGACGGCATACCTATGCTCTACCAACTTGAGTGTATGGTGGATAAAAACAGACCAACGTGGACCACTTTTTCGTTGGGCACTGAAAGGTTAGTGATGACCCCAACAGTTAAAACGTAGTGTATAGGATGTGAGAACAGACTCACCTCGTAGAACGACTGAGCATCAGAAGGGTATATTGCAGAGGTACCCTTCAGAAGTAGCGTTGTCAAATCAGTTGGAGTCGTAACCACAGCGTGTCTTCCTCGTGCAAGCGTAAACGCCAATTCCTCTTGATGATTACCCAACAACGTGTCATTAATAACTACAATCAGTCGTCGTGAGCCAGTTGGTGTAAGAGCTTGAACACACGTCCCCGCTCCACCGTGACTAATAACTAAGCTCGCTGCATCTATTTCCATTTGAATACTGGGTTTATAGCGAAACATGGAAAGCTCCAGTGGATATGCTTCACTGACTGGCCACCCAAGTTCAACAACGGCCTTTTGAACGGATTCATCAGAGGGAGCACAGGGTATGGTAGTACCACGTCCATACTGCACCACAAGATAGCGATAGCCGAGGATCCAAAGAGCTGCATGAAAAAGGGGCTCGTTTGTGACCTCAACAAGTTGATCAAACAAGGTAGTTCCAACGGTGACAAATACTGACGCCATTAAAATAAATATGGAAATTCCCTCAACCGAGTAGGACAGCTAGTCGTTTGACCCGTATTTTCGTCCACGCAATCGTGTTCTTCTATCAATCTAAAGCAGATCTGTTAGCGTATCCCAGTTGAACATACCAGCTCGATTCGGCACAGATCGAACGCTTGTAAGGCGTCCTTGCACTCAAGTGGAAATTCTTTAGCGTTCAAACACTGACGAGGTGTGAGACGTTTCTGTACTTATAAAAAGCATGAAAACCGGCTCTCTTACTTTCTGGCAACAGTCGCTACGCAGTAAGCAGAATAGGAGTTCAACTTTACGGTCTTCGCACGGGTAATCGCGGTGGTTTCGCTCCATGAAGGTGTGCGCCGCCGATATTGCTCAATTAGCGCATGAAGCGACCAGATTACAATCACAGCTAGCAATCTGGAAACGCGGTTGGCGCAAAAGATGCTCGTGTGATTGGAAAATTATATACCTGGAGAAAAAAGCGCAGAACATTGGACTGATACACAAGAAAGGATTGATAAAACGAAGATAATGATGCGATAACTCCAGAAGATCTGGAATGTTTTCGAGCATTTGAGAAGTCTCTGCAGCATGGCATGAGTTAGCTGGCTACAGCCTGTTCAAAATTCTTACCAGAATTCTTCCATGACTTACAGATGGTTTATGAAAAGCAGGTCCCATAGTCAGAGGACTTCTGTAAGGATGGAAATCCAATTCGATACAGCCATGAAACAATCTAAAGCACATAAGCTAAGCCATAGATGAATAGCTCACGCTTCATAGGTTACACTGGTTAGGACAGGTTCTCCGCATGCCAGAAGACCGTCCGTCTCACAGAGATCTTTCTGCCCAGCCCTGCGCTGGGCACCAGTGATTAGTGGCACTGGCAGAAATGGCCCAATCGTGCAGTCAGTAGCGCCCATGCATCAAAGCTATCGCCTTCAATGCGTAGCTAACAAGTTCTCGAACTGAAAATAGAGATAAATTGTTCAGTTGCAGGACCCTAACTGTCATGCCACCAGGACCGGGATACTGTCAGGTTGTCCAAACCTAGGCAGGGGAAGTCGAGAGGTAGAGATTGAGTTCGAACGATGGACCTTCCGGCCAGTAAATTCGCGCAATAACTACTGAGCCGTCTCACCCCGAATCAACTAGATGTGCCGTCGCCTACAAGGCTTGATTGCATGTCCCACATTCTCCCACTTTCCGATCATCTGTAATCTGGAACCCATGTGCCTATGGTACACAGTTTATAGCCGATAAACTGAACTGAATTTTGACAGAAACTAAATAACACATGAATGAAACACAGCTGCAAGGTATCATAGAGATCCGAACGGATGACCGCTGACCAGTCTTAAGATTGGAAGATGATTGGAAAATTAAAAGTGGAAGATAATAAAAAACCCTGGGGGCGAATGAGGAAAACAGTCCTGCTCGGTAATGGGAGAAAAGTTAAGTTTGATAAGGTAACTGAGCCGGGTGGCCGAAAGACTGTTGAAGTGGGACGAAGACGAGCTCAGTGGTAATAGTAACAAAAAAAGTAACCGAGGTCAAATGGCGATGTTAAGGTCTTCAAAACATTGGTCAAAGAAAGGAAGTCAACGAGATGCACGGCTTCCCGCTGGATACTATGCGAGAGTGAAAGACCATAATTCAGTATGCCAAGTTGGGCCACTTGTGGCATCAAAAAGCATTTGTCTGGGTCTCAAAGGATACATATATCAGTCTACGGTGCGAGTTGTATTGCTACACGACTGCAAGACTCGGCTACTTTGGGCGGAGGATCTCAGGCATTTTCAGGCCCTTTGCCACCGAATTCTCGGGACCATAACCGGAATAAATCGGAGCCAGCGAACCAGCAATGTGATCGGGTAACGGATCTTTCGCGAAACATAAGACATTTCACTCGAAAAATGAATCCAGCACTCCAAGCTAAGGTGGCTGGAGTATGCGGTACGCATGTCGAGTTACCGCCTACAGAGAATAGTATCAATTTTCGTGCCAATTTCGGGGTGGCGGAAATCCACAACTGGACGGGAAAATGAATCCAGCACTCCAAGCTAAGGTGGTTGGAGTATGTGGAAAGCATGTCGAGTTGCCGCCTACAGAGAACAGTATCAATTTCCGTGCCAATTTCGGGGTGGCGTAAATCCACAACTGGACGGGGTTCCACATGGCAGAAGGGAAAGATGTTACGAAAAGTTATGATGCCGTTGATGCTGTTCGCGTACCAGGATAGGGTAGACGTAACACTCCCGGTGTTTGGATTGGGACATTGACGGCAATGGTGTTAATGTTGTCAGTTTCTATCCAGTGTCTCCCTGAATGTTAAGTGTTATGTTATGTTAGAAGAACCCAAGACCCACTCATTGTTTCGTTTTTTCTTTCCATTATTCAAATAAACTGATATGGTAGTGAAGCACCGGTGTCCTTCTCTGGTAATGTTTTCAATGATCATGATAATGACGTGAAAGACATTAGGAGAAGCACTGCCGCAAATATGAAGTAGTGTGTATACGAGCACTTGGTAATGGATCGGAATCACCAGTTCTGGTCAGTTTAGGTTATCAGCTATAAATCATATACAAAGGATATGTTAGCTCCAACTTCGATCAACGGAAAATGTGGGAGGAAGGAATGGGAAACTTGACAGCTCGCATTGAAGGTGGTAGCTTTGATGCATGCGTGTCACTGATTACGTGTGGAGCTGTCCGGAAAATGTGGGAGGAAGGAATGGGAAACTTGACAGCTCGCATTGAAGGTGGTAGCTTTGATGCATGAGTGTCACTGATTACGTGATGGAGCTGTCTGTTAGTGTCACTAATCGCCGATGAGCTGAGTAAGGGGTACTCATTCATGCAGGCTGGGTTCACCAGCTAGTACTTTCATGGTTCGTAGCCAGGTCATAGACTGTCCAACTCTCGGCCCATTCCACGCAGCAAGCTGAGAAAAAGGAGCTCTGCCATGCAGGCGTTCCTGTAGAAAGCGAAGTACATATCCTAACCAGCGTAACCCATGAAGTGTGACTAGCTCATCCATTACGAGAGTTCTTTTCTAAAATCGTCTGTCCGAGTCTAGCAGTACTAATCCAGTGTTCTTACCAGACCAGGCCAATGGTTTGAAGGTATCAATGGTCAGACAATAACACCTTTCGTACAACTCCTAACGTAGAGGTCACATTTCTGAGCTATGAGGCAGTATGCGTCCGGCCGTGGCGGTGTACTAGTCAGAAAGACTGACGCCGCACCAGGGCCACGGTTGTCGAAGGTGGACAAAAGGCCACCTTGACCTTGCCAATTCGAGAAATGATCTCATATTCAGCCAATATAACTTCTCGGGTAGATGAATTTACTTATCACGTCAACTGGGTGGTCTGCAAGCGTGAGGTTTGGGTTTGATCCCACCTTAGCACTTAGCAGCACTTTCCAAGCATGACGCGCTTACCAAACCTTGCAGCAGAACTATGTAGATCAGTTAGGATTTGAACTAAGGAGGGTAATGTCCACATACTCAATGCCGGTAGGCGAACGCTCGGGAGTATTCCGATCCCCCGAAGTTTCAGAGGCAGGCAGAAGAGTTTCAAGTAGCACGTCAAAAAAAAGTTCAAGAAGAATTGGTGAGAGAGGGTAGCCTCGTATCACGCCACTCAACTTGATGAACTCAGATTAAGGTTTGTCGCATACCTTTACGCATTCAGCAGTGGATACGCTGAAGTTGGGCTCGAACCACGGACCTTCTGACCAGTAAGTTCACGCGTTAACTGCTGAGCTGTCTTGCGCTCCTTTGAATATGTTTAGAAAGGAAACCTTTGATAGGCAAACACCGCCGAAGTTTCTGAGGATTGAGGTCAAAAGCAGCTTTCAGATCAAGAAAAACGACCAATGTGGGACGCTTGGAAGAGTAGCACTGTTCAAGAACTTGCCGGAAGTTAAGAAAGCAAGGGATGCATCCGCGATCGAGGCAAAACTCAGCTTTATTCTCACAAGCTAGTATCTCCTAATAACCGATCAACCTGCGCAAAAACATGCCAGAGAGTACCCTGGATACAACAGGTATCAGGTTAATGCAACAATGGCTTTTACATGACATTCTGGCGCCGTTTTTTTTGTAGAACGAAATTATGGTCGAGGCGCTCTATTCCACTGGTGTTCTGTTTTCGTTTGAAATGCTCCGTAGTTCGGGTAATTGGAAATCAGCTTTTTTCTACATAGGATGGAAAGCATCGGAGCTGAGAGGTATCCCTCAATGACCGTGATGGCGAATACACGCATCGTGTCTGTCTGGTACAGTCAAGACTTACATCCCGCAATATCTCAGAGGGGGATCGATCATCGTATAGCCCGTGTAGTGCCGCTATTGAAAAATGCCTGCGGCATTATGGCAAAATGGATGGTCGTTTCCAACCTGTCTTGAGAATTTCAAGGCAAACGTGCTTGAAAACGACGGTCTGTTGAAACTTAAATACTGTAATAATAAAATAAAATAATCATTCAGCTGTAACACCCTTTCGGTACTTAGCTGGTACGCCACCAGAAGGAAGCACGAGGGCTAGGATACTGCCAGGTTGCCAAGCCTAAACAGGGGAAGTCGAGAGGTAGAGGATTCGAACGACAGGCCTTCCGTTCAGTAAATTCGCGCTGTAACCACTTAGCCATCTCACCCAGTTGAATACTCTGGCATTTCCCACCAAACGCAACCACCTGGTTGCCAGTCTTTGGGCCAAGGACCTTGGTCGAGGACTCTAATCACAGTATGTCCAGGTTTAGAAGCCCTTACAATATCTTAATTCGTATACAACCATGATTCACAGTCAGAATTATCTTCACGCCTGGTATCACCAGCCGGGTTGCTTCACCTGCTGCATGCAGCAGCGGAGGGGGTTGGGTGAAAACAGGCTATCGCTGAAGTCTTTTTCCTTCACACAGCTTTTCTTCTCCCTTAATAATTAAAAATCACCTTGAGGGTGTATCCATTAACACTAACGACCCAGTTTGTCTTCAAGCGGCCTTGACTCGGACATCTGCGCGTTAGCCGGTGCCCAAAGCTGCAAGAAACTCGAATTCAACCTTTAACCTCTGACATCCGGTCTACCTGAAGAGGAGGATGCATATGGAAACTTAAGGAGCAACAAGAGTTCATAAGAGACATAATTCATTTTCAGACACTACCATTGTTTCGGACAAACGTTCTAATCAAAAACAGTCTTCGGGTCGAGAAAAACGACCAGTGATGGTCGTCGCAAGGAGTTCCACAGTCTCATCGCTTGTCGCGCATCGGATATGAGCTCCAGGCAACCCAGTTTCGAGCTCGTAAATCCGGCTCTTTGAATGATAGACCAATCTACGTAGGATAAAAGCACAAAGCACAATGGGAGCTATGGTCACTACACTGATGCTCCTGTGGTTTTTGCACGATATTTGTACATCCCCTTCGAACATTCAAATCAACTCCAAAGTAACAATTATGTCGTCATTCTCCATTCCAGATATTATGAAGTAAGGTCATCAGGCTAGCCAGAAGGGACTCGGCAAATTCTTTGGAGTATAAGATGTAAACCGTGTTGACCGGATGTTTTG